TTTTTTTTTTCTTTTTTTTTTTTTTTTTTTTTTTTTTTTTTTTTTTTTTTTTTTTTTTTTTTTTTTTTTTTTTTTTTCAACAAGTCCAAGTCACTACTACACTATACTGCTACTGTCGATTGTGTAAAAATATATCGTAAATAAAATCTATTATAAAATTTTAATAGTACGCAATATTTATTTAGTTGAGTCAACAATAACAATAGAGTTGATAAAAAAAAAAAATTTTTTTTTTATGCGTCAATCCAGTTGATTATACTTAAAATGGATGAACCAAATTATTTGCCCTTTGTTACCCGTTCTGGATTTTTTTATCTTTTCCTACACTCCTCATTATTTTGACTCACGATTATAAAAACTTGACAATTTCTGGTACAGTGAATTTTCTCCTCACATCGTGACCGTTCTACTTCTCTTCATCTGCTATTTTTTTTATTTCTTTTCTTTACTTTTTCTTTCTTCTTTCAAACAACGAGCAAAGATTTTTTAAAGCATATTCTCAACCAACCGTTTCGAAAAAAACGAAACCATCTACCTCGCTTCTCTCACTCACCCTCAACTAACTTGGTAATTACCACCGTCTCGCTCTTTGCGATCTCGTCGTCTGCTCCTTCCAATCTCTCTCTAACACGAATAATTTTTTTTTTCCACGTTCCTCTCTTATCCAGGCTTAACGAAATTATCTGATTTTTTTTTTTTTTTGCCGCGCCGCCACCGTTCAAATTAAAAAAAAAAGACCCGAGGAAAAAAAAAAATCAAGGAACGCGCAAACTCTTATGACACGACGTTAAAAGAAAAAACAAAAAAAAAAGTTTTTTTTTTTTTTCGGAGTGACTACTATTTATTGGAGTTTCTTTAATCATTACCTGCAAATCATCACATTTCAAGTTCCTCCTCTCTTTCGCGTAATTAATTATTATTTACACGGTAAGTTTCTGAGTTTATGAGAGCTTAGGGCATTTGGCTCTTTTAATGTTTTACATCTGCGCTTCTTCCAACTCATTATATTTAAACTATTTTTGTCTGATATCACCCATTATACTACCCGACCAATTTTCACACCACTTTTTTTTTTTCCTTCCTCTTCACCACCGTTATCATATAAATTATTATTATTACACGTCTTTACATTTCCTGTTCATCCTTTTAAAGAAATCCTATCATCATTCTGTCGATAAATACCTTCCAAGTTTTGGTGGATTTCTATACCTCCCTGTTTTTGGATCGATCCGCTCATTTCATAGCTTTTACTAAACTCTGATCATCTTCGATGGACATCATGACCGCCTTACTACCAAAGGGTATCACAACTCCAGTTCCGGCTGACGACCGAAGGATATCACCTGCCTCAGAAATGACCTTGAAAAACACTTGCACTGCTCTTCTCTCGCCTTTATATGCGCCGGTCGCAAAGCCGATTTCAAGGAACAACACAATCCAGCACCTGGAAAACTCTAGTTCCGTTTGGGAACGTACTGCCAAGCCTCTTGATTTCAGCGACTACTTCACCTACGCCAAAAAGATCTTGATCGAAAGCGGGACAGCCGCGGGAAATAATATGGTTCACCATCCCTACGTCAATAATTCCCTTTATTACAACCACCTCATCAACGGTGGCGGTTCCTTCAACCACAGCGTCAGCTCGGTCGCGATGGAACACGGGACCGATGGTGGCAACGGGAAAGGCGATGAAGGTCAACAGCACACCCTCTACAGTGTTGCCTTTTCTAAACCTTTGGTTATTCCCTCAGCTTGGTCCTCCCTTGAGGATTTGACCACTCCGACCACTGCCACGTCAAGTTCTGCTGCAACCTCGCGCTGTTCAACGCCGGCTACTAATGGATGGACGTTCGTTGAACGTCCTCCTCAGGCTGATCTTTTTATAGTACAAGATCCTTCGGATGCCGCTGCGGCACAGCAGCGCGATGTCTTGAAGAGTCGACCCTCGTCCCAGAATCTTCAGGCGCTCAAGAAACGTACCTCAATGAACAGTTTCACAAGCAACTCCTCAGAACTAACGCAAAGCCCTCCGCTTGATGGTCACAGTGTAATCTCTAATCAACAGCAACCCAAGGTTCGCCGTAGTAGCAACACGACCATCATCTCTGATACGACCTCCGAGAATTCCGAAAAATCTGCTGCCATCGAACTGGAAAAAGAACAAAAGAAGGCTACCCTGTACAAGACTGAAATGTGTCGAAATTGGGAGGAACGAGGTTCTTGCCGGTTAGTAGTGTGTGGCCATGAGCTTTCTGACGTGTAATTCTTTTTATTCTTGATGATTAGATCATCCCTTGTTGACACATGCACCTTTGTTTTTTAGCTATGGTAACAAATGTCAATTTGCGCATTCCGAAAATGAATTACGCAAAATCACCCATCACCCAAAATACAAGACGGAAATCTGCAAGACGTTCTGGCAAAATGGTACCTGCCCTTATGGAAAGCGTTGTTGTTTTATTCACAATGATAAGAATGGTGTCCTGAGGCGTAATAGTTCTGAAAACTTAAAAAACTCTGGTAAAAGCAATGGCAGCAAATCCAAAGGGTTGAGTAAATTTTGTAGTGATCCTGCCCTCTATGGATCCTATGTAAATGATTCTGCCTCACCTGTTGTCCCCGTACCGCCTCCATCGATGGCGAGCACACAAAATGTCCCTTCGACCTCGAATTCAGATTCTCTTCGCGCTTTCACGGACGCGTACTTTTCGGGACAAGCCGCAGCCAACCAAGGCTCTCCGGAGTCCGTTGATGGCAATCCTTCGTCCACCATCGAAAAAGAGTCCTCGAACGTCGTCACAGGTGTTCATCGTACCGCCCCCGCGAATAGCATCTCAAATAGCAGCAATGCGTATGATCAAGAAAACTGCATTTTTGAGGAGGATGAGGATAATGAATCCAATTTTCCAACGAGTTTGACCGATAAACCATTGATATTGAATGAGACCATCAATGATTTTGGTTCAATTCCAATTCCACCAGACATGTATGCAACAAAATTTGACAAAGTTTTGCGCCCCCAAACTCGCCGAAGGGCATCCACAACCTCATGTCGACTAGATAAGGCAGCCATCAGTTCTTCCACAACTTCCACGACCGTCACCAACAACACCGTTCTGAGGGAAAGGAGCGTTAGTATGAGCGTCAATGCAAACATGGCTCCCGCCCCAAGCAACAGCAACAATCTTGTTCCCGTTGTTGGTCACAACCGAGGTAGAAGATTGGCAATCTTCAGAAATTTGGGTTAGACTGGTGATTATTTCTCTTTCACTTTCACACGCACAAGAGTTTTTCCTTCCAAACATATAGACACCTTTTTTAGTACACACCTGTTTGATTCCTGGTGGAATTTTATTTTAATAACCTGCAACAGATTTCTTTTTTTTTTTGTAATTATTTTTTTCTCTTTTTTTTTTTTATTTTATTTTTATTCTGGTTCTCATCTTTGTTGAGGGATTATTACTGCATCATGATTGGAGTGAACACACAAATTACTACTATACATATCTTGTACAAAGAGGTGGGAAAATCAATGAAGAACAATTCGGTCATTTTCTTATTTTTAAAATTCTCTCGCATCATCACAATTCAATTTCTTTATCGTTATTTTATTTTTTTATTTCTTTTTTTTTATTTCATTGCCTCTCTTCTCCCTTAATATATATAACTTCTCTGTGACGCAAGTTTATCGCTTCTTTATCTCATTCTCATCTTTAGGTTTTTCACTGGATTCGAGATGTCTTTTTTTATCATTTTCAATTCAAAAAAAAAAATCATGAAAATTGAAAAAACATAATATAATGAAAAACTGGACTAACGAAGTCTTAATAATTCAAATTTGATTCACACGGAATATATCGATTATTATTTAATTCAGTTTGACTTCAAAGAATAAAGGATAGAGTTTGTCTCCATTGTAAAAAAAAAAAATTTACATAAATAAAAATAAAAAAAATTTAATAAAATAATAAACATTTTGATGACTTTCGTTCAACTATTTCAAATGGGAAGCTGTCCGACATTAAACTTGTACCAGTTGTATGTTTAGGTTGAACACGATGGTTCGAATTTCAGATTGTTCGATAATATATTGTAAGAATTTATGCACGTGATTATCTCATGCCATGACAAGAACTAGTTCTCGTTACATAAGTAGATACGATTTTTGAATGCACATGTAATCACATCGATAAAGAAGCCACGATGATGTAATGTTAATATTTCAGAATCAGGATTTGTCACATGACATAAAAACAAATCTCTGATTTAACGGTCGTTCGGAAGGAATTCATGTGATGGAGATACAGAAACATCAGAAGCCTCAATATCTGTTTGAACTACCACACACACAATTTCCAAAGGTAGAAGGTTGTTTAGCAATTTTAAAAAAATCAGCGCAATTTTATTTTTTACTAACCTGCGTATACATTTTAAAACGATTAATAAAATTAATCTTATAATTTAACAGTTAGATGAGAAATACAAATATCCATATTTATTATGTATTATTCGTATATAATAAATAAACCAAAAAGAACAAAATATATAGACACGTATATATTGCAAACACTGTATATACGTTGTATATGATACAAGTACAGTATATTAGATACGGTATATAGATGAACAAACAATAATTTCAAGTTATTGTGTTGATGAGATTAGTATATACAATATACGTACGCGTATATTAAAATATTTAAACAAAAGAAATAAAAGATTGATTTATGATAAAACATATATCAAACAAAATACATATGAAATATACTTTGATGTATAATTATATATATATATAGTATATATAAAATTAACCTATAAAAAATAATCCAAATTTTTTTGGACTTAAATATTTAAATAATAACCAATTGTTAGTTTTTATCATTTTATTTGAAATTTTTATTATAATCAACAAATGGTTAAAAAATAAAATAAAGTTTTTGGATTAATATATTGTATATATTTTTTATTATAATTTCATTAATATTTATTTTCAAAAAAAAAAACTCTTTTTCATTCACCACACATTTTTTAAAAATTTTCTTTTTAGAAAATTTTTTTCTTTTGAGAAAAAACTTCTGCTAAAGAATTTACAAATATACCAGTTAATAGCACTATACTGTACTCTCTCTAGAAATATAGTTTTTGCTAATAAAAAAGTTATAAGATTGAAAACAGCTTTTTTTATTTTTAAACAAGTCATCTTAAATAACAAACTAAAAATATTACTGGAGTTTGATTTGACTTTTTAATAACAAAAAATCAAGTGGTATTTCTTATACAGTTAAAAGATACAAATTAATACAACATAACAATAATATTAACATAACAAAATATATAATTATAAACAGAAACAAAAATCAATACTTTTTACTCTTTCTTATAAACTTTACTTATGAAACAGTATCCAATTTTTTGTTTGTGTGGAATTGAATATTTTGTGACTAAGCTTCATCTGATAATAATAAATATCAATAGTAATATTTTACTTGAAACAAGAAACAAATAACCAATTTTAGTTAAAAATTTTTCAACCTAAATAAAGATTATTAAAAAGATGTAAAAAGTTTAAACTAATTACAAACTGATATGAAAATTACATCAAGAAAATTTTTTGCAAAAAAATTCTAAAGATTTTTGTTTTTAAAAAAAATTTCACAAATTTCCAGAATAATATTTCAAAGATTTTTGAAAAACTTCAAAAAAATTAATAACAAAATAATTTAAAGAACTTTAGAGTAATATAAAATAAAACATTGACTTTTAATATTTTTATAAAAATTGAAGTAATTTATTTAAATACTTAATAAAAAAATATTTTTGTTTCAAATAGGATCTCTTTAATATAGCAGCTAGATTTCTATATTGCTTCAAATTATTTAATATCTAACCAAGTGTTACATTAGCAAATATTACAAATAGATCTTAAAATCTTATGAATTTTTTGAAAATTAAGAATTTTTGAATTTTTATGTTACTTCAAAGATTTTTTAATTTAATTAAATTAGAGTAAAATTTTGTTCTATATATTTTTTCTTAAGTATTATAGTATAAATTAATTCATTTTTGTATAAATTTTTAAATTACTTCAAACATTTTTAAAGTCTTATACTTTTTAAACTATGTATAATATTTAAAATACTTTGAAGATTATTATTATTTTTTGAATTTTATAATATTTAAATTTTATAAGTATTATATAATACTATAAAATTCTTTAAAAAAAATTAAAAATTTTATTAAAAAATAAATTTATTA